GTGTTGAAGCCGAGTAATGATCGGTTAAGCGTAAATCAACGGAACATTGCCGTCTGAAATCACTTTCTGAGATAATTGCTCGTGTACCTACTTATCGTGCACGAAAGGTGTCACGCACGCAGTTTTCATCAGAATAAACGTCTTTAGAGCGATTTTCCCGACGTGCGTGACCAGCGAAAAAATTATTTTCTCTCCTCTCGGTCAACCCTTTCTACCATCGATATTTTTCAGCCGATTACCGCGACCGGCTTAACGCACGAAGATTACCGCCGCGTTCTCGCATCCCGTGATAAATAGCAAGATTACGAGTCTGCGTGTCGGCCAATGAACGATGCCCTTAGCCCATGGACCATATGTTCCTCCAAGGCTGTGGGATACTCGCCAGGGCTCTGAATCGTATTAACGCGCAAACATTTTGAGCGAGTCGCATCATTGAGAAGCGATACGTTGATAAAAGTACAAAGATGTAAAAAAAAAAGAAAGAAGTCGAAAAATTTATATACGCTTACGGCGTTAATTAATCAAATTTAATTACAGCTTAGGTTTAAGCCAATAAAATTCTGAATCGAGAAAACAACTTGATGTGAAAATACCTGTAAATGTCAGAACTAAGTGTAAAAACGTGTTTTTCGGACAAGTAAGTTATTTGGAAGATTAAGAAAAAAAATATTCTCTACACTTTTCTTCCTCTATACAGATATATAAATGTTTTCGCGAATCACTTCTCATAAAAACGATTTCTCACGCAAGCTGAGGGAACGTGTTCGATTAATGAATCGCATCATCCGTGTGATACAACAATCTGATTGAGAATACGTATTTTATAAAGCAATTTTCTCAATTAATGAACCTCTGCGGTTCGGAGACCGAGATAACCCAGCTTCCGATGTGCATCCGCAGGATTTTTCCCACAGCGAAGACAGCTGTCGTAATGAGTTGCATCCTCACGTCCTTCTACTCGTTTCCGTGCTTCTCCCCTCCTCCCCAGAAACTTTATCTCGCCTTGTTCCACTATCTGACGGCGACTTTTTCGTTAAGACGATATATGCCCCTACGTGACAATGCAGGTTTCCTTTATCGGCCGATGCAGTCCCGCGGGAACGAGTCTTCACCGATCCGCGTGAAAAGGAGGGGAGCCCGAAATTTGAGAAATGAGCCCTTCGACAGGCATAAATCGTAGCCGATAAGCCGGGGATAAAGACGAGCACAACCTTTTATTCGCGATTCTACTATGCTTCAAGCATTTCCCTTCGTTTCTCCTTCAGATATCTGTCCGGCATCTCCTCGGCTTCTTCAACGAATACAAATTAATCGTACGTTCTCCACGCGCGATCAATATTTCGCGCGACCCTTCGTATAAGAAGCGTATAAAGTGAAAAGTAAAAACTGATGATTTAAAAGAGTGTAGCGTATAAAGTCAAGGTTGTCACAAATTTCTTATCCTAAAATTCCATGACGTTTCCCTGATTTCCAGTTTTACGGCAGCCCTAAAAGTATACGATATTGAAGAAAAATTGTTTCGATGAAATAAAAATGGAAATTCGAAATTTCCTCCGCCAAAATTCAAATGGTTATATAATATCAATTCTTATTAAGTAGATTCTTTAGTTCCAAGATGTATCAGAATGTATTTTAGATTACACGGGTCACAGACCGAAAGGGGGCTACGAAGAAGTTATGGGGAAATACGTGAGGTAGGTCGGGGCAAGATGAAAGTTACTGCATCAAGGTTCCCTTGGAAATTCTTGGAGATACTTCTGGCACGGGAAGCCGAATTAATGTGGCCCGCGTTACTGTTGCAGCACGCTCGCTTTCGTTTCGATCTCTTTACAAGCGTTTCACCTTGGAAGGTTTTCGAAAGTAAAAAGATAGTCTCACGTGTGTCCGTTTCCGTTACGACGCGTGACATTTGTCTACGAATTCGTCTCGACCTTTATTCATAAACAGCAGCGACACAAACAAAATTAGAATTTAAATAAAATTAGATATTAGAATAACAATATTATATTATTAATATTGGAATAACAAATAATAATCTCGAAAACAGACGACAAAAAATATACTATCAATTTTATAAAAATAAATTAAATGTAAGCTAAGAAAATACTTGATATTTTTTTATTTTTCATACTTACTTTTGTCACTTATGCTATTTTTTTATGTCAAGGCTTCAATTGTCACTTTCGCTGCTATTATAATCTTAAAATCTTTGTTCTTTTATTGTAAGAGGACTTATGCTCTCTAAACGCTGCTAGAATTTACTCTTAGAAATTTTTTAATTTGATGCCAAGTTTGATACTTTATATTTCTTTTAATCAATTGATTTTTAATTTCTTTTCTATCAAATAATGATATTACGTTTTATAAATCAAGTTATTTTGTGTATTAGGATAAATTACTTATTAAAAAAAAAAAAAATGAAAAAACGATAATTTATTCTATAAAAAAATACTAAGTAAAATTGTTACGCAAAATTAGTTTGGAGAGAGGAGGAACCTATAACATAATTAGTGTCAAATTCGAGACAAAAAATATCTTATGTCGAACATATGGCAAGTCGCGATGAATCGTTCTTAAGTTACGCCGTTTGATTCGTCATCGTGAAACTGGCTTCAAAATTCTACACAATGGGTCCTTCAACACATGCTTGCTTTTAACTTTACAAAATATAATATCATACAAAGTAATTATTAGAATTTCACGAAATAAGTTACAATAATTTTAGCGCTTACGTGCATAAAACATCGACGAGTGAATGTCAAACATTTTTTTATCAATAAGTATACGATTTTATATTCAAGAAAGTTTATAAGCAAGAAACTTTCAATTATCGATTTATAATACGATATGGGATGCAATCTCGTTTAACTTCCGCTTGATTAAATAATATGTTGCATCATTAAAAGCGACATTTCGCTACTTTTCCAAGTTACTATCTCGCTTAAACAGCCCACGTGATGTCGTGAAAGCAGTTCGAACGATTGCGTAACTGCACGAGTATACAGTGCAAATAATAAAGACGATCGTTCGCGTGATTGTTCATAATGTCTACGGTGAAAGTTACAGAGAAAGTCCGTAATACGTGACGAAACAGCGCGCGCGACCGGACGTAATGCGAAACGGCACATTTATTTTTTAGCAACACTTTCAATCTGCGATGGGAGAGGGGAGAAAACGAGGTGAGAGGAGGGAGAGAAAAAAAATCTTGCAGACCCGTTACGCCGCAATCATGGACGTGATGAACGGCGATTTCGAGCTCTGGCGGTATCCTAAATTCGACTATCCGAAAAATCAATACAATGAATACGAATTTTTGTGAAAACACAACATCGATACACAGGAGCATAATTTGGAAAGAATTTTTTCACTCACAAATTATTCAAGATTCTCAATTAATCTCTGTTCCTCGGACAAGTTTCAAAAACTTAACAATATGTCTATGTACTAATAATGTACACGGAAAGAATGGTTTTGCTGAAATATAAAAATTTAGTTAGATACAGATCCGAAAATAATTTTGCTAGAAAAAAATTATTATATATATATATAT